AATTACACAAAAAGGATAATAAAAGAATAATTTAATGGGTGATAATTTGAAAAAAATGTTTTTTAATTATCTTTTCATATTATTTTATATTATTTTTATATAATTTTTATATATAATTAAATGCATGAATATATTTAATATAATAAATATCAAATAAATAAAAAAATCAAATATTTTAATGATATATAAAACTATAAAAAAAAATTGAAACAAAAAAGTTATCCTCAACCATTTCCCTAATTTAATAAGAGGTCTAGGTTTAAGTTCTTAATTTTTCATTTCTATCTCGTCTATGGTTCAAAAAGATGGTCCAAAAAAAGATGTATGTTAAATATCTTACAAGTTGAAAAGATATTTGTATCATTTAGCATCAATTGACTAACTCAACACTTCTACTCTTGGTCAAGAAATAAAAATGTTTCATTCTTGTAATTGCACCAAACTAGAAGTCCTTTTTCAGTTTAAATTTTCACTTCGGATGAACCTGCAAAGCTTCGAAATGGGTTCTCGAGGTAAACACTCCGATACTTAAGTCAACAATAATCGGGACTACCTTTAGAGTGGAGATAAAAGGAGCTTAGGGTTGGTTTCAATTACCTTTTTGAGGTGGCCCCTGAGGGGTATTTATAGGCCTTCGTGGGGTGTCCACGTGGCTTACTTAACAGGATAATCGGAGTGTGACGTGTTCCTTAAGGCGGTAAATTCGAGACCGAGAAATTAAGAGAAATTCTGATGTGAGCATGCTCACCGTAACTGTCATGTAGCTGTTTGACTAGATAGTGCTTCACTTCGGTTATTAAGAAATTATAGCAGTACGTCCGAGGTCCTCAACCTCGGACCTATCCTTACAATTCTCTCTTTTTTTTTTACTGTAAAAAATATGATTAGTAAATTAGTATCTATTTAAATATCGGTCAAGGAGTTTTATCAAGCTTTCTTGAGGAGCAAATATATGTGAAACAAACCCCTTTGCAGATTAGATCTTCAACCACATTTTCTGCAGTTTCTTGTTCTGCTACCTTTAGCCAAGCTTCAACTTCCTGCTTTGCAATCTTCCCAGGCTGCATAAGCTGAGTACGCAGTCCTGCCGCAACGTCTTCCCTTCGGTGCTCCAGCTTTGTTTGCATTTCTTTGAATTTGTTGACATAATCATTGTGACATATCTGATACTTGACATATTTCTTAACTGTAGGTATAACTTCTTTCATAATATCCGTGACTGGTCCTATGGCGTCCATTAGAGAGTTCCTGCATTTATGAAATTGTTGGATATAAGCTAATTATGCCTTAAATGAAACAAGGATAAGAATAAAAGTGTTTAGGAGAAAAACAGATAGAGTTGGAAATCAATGGTGGTAATACCATGAATAATTTATTTGGTTTTTTATAAATTTAGAAATTATTAAAAATTAAAACTAAAAATTAAAAAATTAAATTAGATCCGTTTCTTTAATAAATGCACGACTAGTATTTGTCAAATTTGGGATCCCACCTCAACGTTACACTAATTTAATTTGATTGATGTGGACTAATCTAAGTTTGTATGATGATCTTTTTTTTTTTTTTGAACGTTTCAATATGAAATAGGTTCGAAGCCTACTAGGAGAGGAAAAATGTACCTGTTCAATGGATAATGTCATTGGAC